ATCGTTCTAAACTCGTCAAAGTACATAAGTTCAAAAAAAAAAAACTCAAAATTTCGAGGGGGTGCTAAACTAGATTTGTTCCAAAGTTTTTGTAATCAAAAATATGAAAAATATACAACACTCTTTAGTAATTTCACTTGTATTTTTCACAATTTGTTGTTTAATGTATTTTTCCTAACATAATTAATAAGTTTTCACGATTGGTATGTTAATTATTGAATTACGAATTCAATAACGAAATAATATAGGTAATAATAAATAATAATTTCTAAACCTAAATAGATAAGTTTAATTAACATATTATATTGTTGATCTAGGCATTAAAATTAAACAGATAAAACTTATCGACAATTCGATAACAATTCGTGCGCGTGTCCCTAAAAATAAATTCTAACATGATCGACTCTGCAATTGTCCGCGATCGACCGTTAAATATATATTATTAAATATATAGTTATGGAATTAATTTCCAAAAATAAAATATTATATTATTACGTACGGTATTTTCAAATGTTATGTCTTGCGATTGCTGCGTCGCCGTTGTCGTATTCAAAAATGTTTCTTCATTGTCTTCATCCATCGTTGATGGTCCACTAATTTGAATCTCGTGGTCCCGTAAAAATTCCAATTCTTCAAAATACCAAACTGACGGCAAGTAGATATCATCGGTACTTGCACCTGATTTTTTACTACCTATCACTTTCTTTAACTCACGACGATAATTTGATCTCAAAGTGTTAAGTTTTTTTTTAGTAGTATTAATATCAGCGGATGGATCAATTTCCTTTAGTTTTTCTGTTAATTTGATGTAACATTCTTGTTTTAAAACTCTGTCTTTGTACATGTCACTTTTTATTTTCCAAGTAGCCGGTAAACTGCGGTATAAATGTATAAACTCACGCCAAAAATCTTCATTATTTATTTTATTAGCCATTTTATTGTTATTTTTATTTTATAAACTACGAGGATGGAGAATATACAAAACAGAAACGACTCGTCTACACTGTTCGAGTTCGACTCGATGACTGATATATTTTACATTCATAGACATACACGGTCAGTCTTGATTGACAATCAACGTGACTGACGGTCAAAATTCAAACATGTTTGAATTTCATCAGTCACGAATATCGATTGTCAATCATGTTAAATCATGCAAATACATGATCAGTCTTGACTGTCAATCACGTTGATTGTCATTCTAGACTGACCGTGTATGGGGGCCTTAATTAGGAATCGGCGTATGCTTATTCATTGCGAGCCACGGCCCCGTGGTGTGACTGCGAGCTAACAGCGCTGGTAGTCGTGGTACCATCAATATTCAGTAATCTGTATTTACATTGTTCGTTAGCGTGCGTATATCCGAAATTAAAAAAAGGTTTTGTTCGCGATTTACTATTTTTCTGTGAAAGACGTAATCCGAAATTTAATAGTGTACAACTATATAAAAGTAGGTATTGTTACAAACTAACTGTTTTAAATAAAGAATACTGAATAGTTATAAGGCATAGGCCGGTGCTGTGTTGGGTGCACGTCGGGGTATAAAAGTAATCTAGAAAAGGTATCAAGATTTGCTGCACCTCGTGATCCAGAGTTAAGAAAAAAATGGTCAAATGCTCTACCAAGATTAAATTATACTGTTAATGACAGGTCATATGTGTGTGAAAAACATTTTGCTCCAGAAGAAATTATTAGATATTGGGAATCAGGTACTGAATCAACATTACTTGTCAAGGTAAGTAATTTACTATATTTCTAATATTTAGGAATATGCATAGGTAGTAGGTAGATATATTTTAGTTTTAAATCAGTAAATTAAGTGTATAGGTCTTATCTAAAATACTTTTATAGTTTTATGCTTTCAATTATATAAATCATATTATACATTGTCAAGTAAAAAAGTCAATGGAGAAAATAGGTACACTTGTTTTTATTTTATGAAGGACATTGATGCCTACATGTATAAGTATCCTACTTAATTCAATTAGAAATATGATAATTATCAATGGATACAATTTAAATTATAATACAACTTGTATATGATATTAATAATACCTATACAAAGGTGAACATTCTCATTTTATACTGAAGTTAAAATAGCAATCAGTAAGTTATTATTGATACAATTAGGAAAAACAATCTCAGATAAGAAATTAGGTAAAACCATTTGAATAAATAATATTTTTTTAATTGTGGGTAATAATTAGGTACCTACCTACCTATATTTCAAGTTTTAATACATATTGAAATTTGCTCTATGAATAGGTATGTACCTAAGTGTATTTCGAGGTGTATTTGTTATTGCAAAATAATTGTTTATATCTACATTATTCAAAATGTACTAACATCATCAATTTTACAATTAATAGGCAATAAATGAAAAAACAATAATAGGTACCTACCTAATAAAAATTAAATTAAGTAACTAATTATTTGAACAACATACTAAGTACTTATTGGTTTTAATTTTAGGTTCCATACAAGATTCCTAAACTACAACAAAATGCTGTTCCATAAATTTTCCCTGGACCTGCTACCTCACCAAAAACATTAAAAAACGGAAACCAACAACTGAGCGACAAAATGTAATACATAATAAGAAAAGTAAAGATGATGATATTGGTAATATTAACAGAATTGACGACCCTGTCATTAATACAAATTTATATAATTTAATAAAATGTTCAACTGCCGAGGGAACATTAAAGTTATACTGTTCTTGGACTGATGCCACTATACAAAAGTTGAATAGTACAGTTTCAATTTATAGTTTTGTATCTTTCTGCCACACTGATACAATACCTATCATTGAGAAGTCTGTTACTGTCTCAACCAATGGTGATATTACTTTTGGAGTACAGGGTAAAAAAATTGAAGCAGAACAACTCAATATTATCCCAGCTAAAAATCTATAAGATTTTGCTAATAATTTAAAAAAATGTATGTTTGTCATGGAGGACCACTAGTAAATCCAATACTAATAACGAGCTCTACCATCTGGCACAAACTTAATCCGCTATTACATTTTCCATTAATATCGACATAGGTAAAAAACGGATTTTTTTTACGAGTGGACTGATATGTTTGACAACCACGTGCTTGGCAACGTAAGTATTTCGTTTTCACAAATTGCCCATCGGAATCTCGTTTGCGGCTATTTTTATAACATTCCTTGAGAACGCCACCACACACTTCATTGCTAACATTATTGATTTTTTCACAAAATTCTTGTTTAGGTAAGACACCTTCTTGTTTTAAAAAATTCACACAAGTATCATCAGTATAAATAATATGTCTATATAAATCACCAATTGAAGACATTTTGAACGCAATACAAATGACAAACACACGCGAATAATTCACAGACACAACTAATCGTTAAAAACCCGTGGGATTTAACTTTGTACTTTGTAGAGTGTAGATAAATATTTGTAGATAGCATACGACACCCCTACCCGATAAGGTATTTGTAGATAGCATACGACACTAGTATTCAGTGCGTAGATATATATAGGAATACGGAATAACTCGGGAAAATAAAAAATGGTGTTAGTTACATAGTTGAAATAGTAGTACCAACAATGATAAGATATATTTTGTACAAACAAACAAATGAATTGACAGTGATTTTAAAACCGTTATGAATAAGTACATAAAACCGTGTTTAGAATAATTAGTTAAAAATGCAATAGTTAAGTGACATTTAGTTACAATGATGTAGGTACATAACATTATATTTGTTCTATATGAACAATTTAATAGTTAAATTACAAATTATTTGTTATACTTTTATTATTACTGTTGTTGAAAGTTTTATAAAAACATTTTTATAAATTTTGTCAATTGCGCCGATTTTTCTAGACTACCTGAAATTTATACATCTTTTGCGCCGGTGGATTTATCCCAAACAAAAAAGGTATACGTCTTTTGCGCCAATAAATTTATCACAAATTAATTTAGTATACATAATATATATCTATTGTGCTAGGAAGATATTATAAAATATCATATTATTATACTATTATTAGATTATAATATAATTATCAAACATATAAAATAAAGTGTAATTTAAAAAATATAAAAATTTCATAAAATTAAATCATAAAAATTAAAATACATATAAATAAACGATGATAAATTACATATGAATAAATTGTCAAAAAGTATTAAAATTTCATTTCTTGTAATATTGACTTACCGACTTCACAAATTGAAACATATTGATAGTACCGTCATATTATTATAGTATTATATTAGATATTTTATTATAATTAAATTAAACTTAAAAAATTAGACTAAAAGTAATCAGCTTATTTTTCAACTTCAGTATTGCCGGCGCAATTAATGCATAACCTTTTTGAATCCCATAATTTTTTTTTCCTTACCTGTGATTTCTGGCGCAATTGACATATACCCACGGCGGAATCGAACCCGGGAACCTACGTGTTCCCTACCTAACGCCTAACCTACTCGGACACAGCTTGAGATATGGAATACAGTCAAAACATCAACACTTAAGCCGTGCGTCTACGGAGCGACGTAAGCCGATATATACGATGTACATCGATGTAATAGCATATAATTCGCTTGTAATACGCACATCACCAGGGCCGTAGACACGGGGGGGGTTTAGGGGGTTCAACCCCCCCCCCCCTTGGAAAGTTTATAAATTTATTTCAAATATTTAAAACTACTAATATATCTTATATATTTTTAAAAAAATTTTTATCAATAACAGTAATTAATAATATTTTAGATGTTTGTGTTGTTGTCGGTTATAAGTAAGGTATTTTGTGTATCGTCTAATGGTCGCACTGACAAATCACCATTACCATAACCGTTTTGTTACTGTGATAATTGATAATCTTATTATATGTTCATGTTGATAATACTGCAATTTAAGATAAAATATTAATAGATATTATCAGTATTATAGTTAAAACTTTAAAAGTTAAAACCGTGGTGAATTTTTTTAACTCTGTTGAAATAAAATTAACAAAATGGAGAATTTAAGTAATCCTAACAAAAAAACCAAAAAGTGTGTCATAACAAATTATTTCACTCAAGTTACCGACGTTAGAGGTGCTAGCAGTGAAATTGTTACTCAAACTCATCCTGTTTCTGAGTTATCTAGTGCTCAAAACACCGATCGAAATCAAGTAAGTTATTGTTACTTAAATTAATTAAATATTGTAGTTATTTTTAATTTAAAACATTTACCATTTTTTGGAGGATGTGTTGACACGCCAATAAAATAGTTATAGGTATAATATAAAATTGTATAGATAAAACAATATGATTTTATTTAGCCATAAGCCATAGTTTTAGCTTAATAGCTTGTGCATGTTGCCTAATAATTTAGCTTTTTCAAAGGTTATTGAACCTCGAAATAATGATGTTTCATTATTTGTAAACTGCAGTTTGACTGATGAGGAAAAACACTTAGTGTTCGAAACTCAGCGTCATTGCGTGTATACCCGGCTTGACCAGCCGTACCGGGTGCGCGCGCCGGTGGCGCATAAACGCCGATACGAGCCGCCGCCGTTGAGTGCAAGTTGCGCGCTCACGCAACCGGTCTATTACTTTTAGTGTGCTTCGTAAAGCGGGCGGTTGAGCTCACGTCTTTTGTGCGTTTCCGCCGCACTGCCTAAGTACTAAGTGAATTGTGGTGCCTCCGCTGGAAATCTTTGTGTAACCAACGACTACACGGGTGTCCGTCTGTGGGCCTCAACTCGGGCCGTCGTGTACCGTGCCGTCCGAAAGTGCCGTTCGTTTTTGCACGCCTTAGCGACCACTATCGTCGCCGCTGCTGCCGAACACGTCTCCGTATACAGCCGTTGCACCCGCCGCCGCCGCGACTCAAATAGATCGGCTGTAGGCCAAGGTCGTCTCCGTCGTCGCCGCGCGTTGATAATTCAGCAACACACTGCCGCAGCCGTAACAGCTGCCGCCACTCCACTCCGCGCATCCATCGTCGTCGTCGCTGGTATCGTTGTCGATTATATCATTATATTTTGTTATTGTTATTATGATTGCGCTCTAGTGTGAGCTAATCACTTATAATTATTGTATGCTGAAACGGGGAGACGTCTCCGCCAGCTTTTATACTGTCGTACTCTTAAAGGGTATTTTTTTTTATTGATATTACATTGTAGTGCTACAGGCACATGTTTAATTACTACACAGCATTCAGTGTTATTCTTATATATACATAAACGGGATTTAACGGTGTTACCTTGTTCCCTATACTCTCGTCACCAGAATCGTTAGGCCGACCGCCGGTTCCGTAGGAGCCCGACGGTGCCAACACATTGGTAGCAGAGCGTGGTTTCTCCACAATTTAAAGTTTGTTAGCGTTTCTGGGTGTATGCAATTACGGGTATACTCGATTTACTGGTCGGGTGTGACATTGTTTTGTTCCTAAGCCGCAGTGCTGCTTAAGCTGTAACGTAGTATAATAGGTACGCGTGTTGTGCGCGTCAAGTCCATTCTAATGGAGGTATTGTGATTAACACTATTGTCTATTAGCCGGTGTAGCGACCTATCTGTCGATTATTATTATTCTAGGTTGTGTACTTGTGTTTTTCGTATATTGCTGTCAGTAGGCATAGCACGAAAACGTTAGGTAGGTAGTAATACGACCCGTTGTCTACATACATTACAGGTTGTTAGTATTGTTGTAGTGCGCGGATTAGTCTCGTCCTCCTAGGAACTATATTGACCTATCCCGTTCGTCACGCGGGTGTTGTTGTGTCAGGTGCTGATTTAGGTTGTCGTACATCTGCACTTATTGTTATATTGGATCTTTTCCTGTCGTCCTCGGTAATTTGAGCGAGAATGACCGGGTCAGAGAAAGAGGCCATGGAGCGCGAGCGTCGAGTGTTACATAGGGCGAAGACCATCGCGTTGCTAAATCGCGATAGCACGTTGAATCGTATGAAGGCCATAGCTGACATGGCGTCCCGAGTGAGGGATGCGCCCGAGTTGAAGCCCAAATTATTAACTGCAGCCGGTGACCTAGACTCCCTATGGGATACATTTCTTCGACATAATGATGCGGTTTTGAATGCGTTACTAGATTTGAACTTAGCCTCAGAATATTCTGTTACTCTGGAAGCGGAGGTTCGTACTCTGTACTTTGACGCACGTGCTATAGTGGAAGAATTTGCTCCCCTACCCACAAGCAGGGCCTTATCACAGGGTTCCAGTCGCTCATCGGGCTCACGCCATTCTAATCATTCCGGTCGCCCTTCAAGGCGATCTCGGCTCCCAGAAATCCCATTGCCGTCCTTCAGTGGCGAGTTGAGTGGCTGGCCGGCGTTCCGCGACCGCTTTACGGACCTAGTCGTGCTGGATGACGAGTTAACGGACAGCGACCGCTTCTATTATTTACTCGGTTGCCTCCGTGGTGACGCGTTAAGTGCCATTAGTTCCATCTCGGTGTCCAATGGAACATACGACCTCGCTTGGGCCACGCTAGTCGAGCAGTTTGATAAACCTAGGCAGTTGGCCTCTTTGATCATCGACAAGTTAATGTCAGCTCCGATACAGTCCCAGGAGTCTCTGAGCGGATTGAAAGATTTCCTTGGGCTATTCTCCGACCAGGTGGCGATGTTACACACGCTGCACGTTCCAAACCTTGGTGAATTTATATTGTTTTCTCTGGCTTCGCGCTGCTTGCCATACTCCACTAGGAAGGGTTTCGAAGCATCGAATAAACATGATTTTCCATCTATTTTGGATATGGTTAGCTACATCAAAGACCGTGTGAGCCTGTTAGAGGCCGTGAGCTTTACGCAAAGCTCGAGTAACCCTCCAACAACTCAGGGCCGGACGAAGTCCGCGCCATCAAACCATGTTGGCCGGAAGCCAAAGGTCGTGATGCTCGCCTCAAAATCGATGGGTACTGCCCCGTCAAAATGTTTGTTCTGCTCGGGGGAACACGTCACCACGTCGTGCAACGCGTTTACCAAAATGTCAGTGAATGACCGCGTTTCGGCTGCACGTGATAAACGACTGTGCTTCCGGTGTCTCGTCTCCACCCATTGGTCGACAAAATGCAGAGTAACCAAGCCATGTGCCCGTTGCCACGGTCGCCACCATACCCTACTTCATAAGGACAACGATACGGAGGCACAACCTATCGCCTCGACAAGTGCCTGCCACGTCAGCTCGTCGAAACATCCTACCGCATTGTTGGGGACCGCTGTGGTTCACGTGCGTGATCGGTATGGATGCATGCAACCGGTGCGTGCCTTAATCGATTCCGGATCGCAGATAAGCATCATGTCAGTTCCGTGTGTCGACCGGTTGGGGTTGAAGTGTAATAAGTGGACTGTTCCGTTGACGGGCGTGTCCGGGGCAGCAGTTCTGCAGGTAAAAGGTCGAGTTGAATGCCTGCTTACGCCCAGGTATAATGACGAGCATTCCATCAAGTTAACTGCGTGGGTTCTACCCAAAATAACCAGTGACCTGCCATCACAACAGTTGCCGCCGCAGTTGGTGAACAAGTTTTCCCACTTGGCGTTGGCTGACCCGCAGTTTGATTGCACTGCTCCAGTTGAGTTATTGTTAGGAGCTGACGTATATTCCCGAGTTATGGATGGGAAACGCGTTTTATTGGATCCCTCGTTACCTGCGGCCTATGGATCGATCTTCGGGTGGATCGTCATCGGTCCTGTTCCCGAGGTGGAACCTGATACCTGTCGGTCCCACGCCGCTGTCACCCTATCGGTGTCCCTTGAGGACATGGTCCATCGTTTCTGGCAAGTGGAAGAACCCGATACAGCTCCGGCCACGTTCCATGACGAGGGCCAATGTGAAGCTGTCTACAGCGCCGAGCGGTATCGTGACATCACGGGACGATATGTAGTTCCTATGCCGTTCAAGCCTCTTCATCGCGACGAATTATTCCCTGGGTCCCGTCAAATTGCTATACGCCGTTTCCAGAACCTGGAACGGAAACTCCAGGCCGACGAAGGGCTGTATGCCGCGTATAAAGAGTTCATGTTAGATTACGAATCGTTGGGACACATGACCGTCGCTGATGAAGTCGGGACGTACTACATACCCCACCACCCGGTTTTCAATGCGGCACGCAAAATACGAGTGGTATTTGACGCCTCCGCTAAGGCCAGTTCGCACCTATCGTTAAACCAGTGTTTGCACACCGGGCCGAAGTTGCAGTTAGATATTCTGGACATCCTGACCCGTTTCCGTCTTCATAAGTTTGTGTTCACCGCCGACGTTTGCAAAATGTACCGGCAAATCCTCATGCGCCCGGAATACCGGCGCTTTCAACATATATTTTGGCGATCGTCCCCAGTGGATGAGTTAAAGGAATATCAGCTGAACACTGTCACTTACGGCGTCAATTGCGCTCCCTTCTTGGCCCTACGTGTGTTAAAAGATATCGCCGAGAACGAATGCAATGATTACCCAGAAGTCCGGGATGGATTGAAATATCAGACCTACGTGGACGACATTTGTATGGGGGCAGACACCGAGGAACAACTATCGAGTGTGCAATCAGATTTAATAGCCGTCCTGGGCCGCTCCGCGCTTGAGCTAAAAAAGTGGTCGAGCAATTCGCCTCGCGTATTGTCGGGGGTCGCTGCAACTGACCGAGTTTCCGAGGTGATCAACTTCGATGACAAAGGAGGAGGTATGGTCAAGGTCTTAGGCCTCCGCTGGGATCCAGTCAAGGACATTTTTGGTTTTGATGTCCACCCAGTGTCCAAGGTTATCACCAAACGATCGGTATTGTCCACCATTGCCACAATCTTTGACCCGATAGGGTTCCTTGCGCCTGTAATTTTTCATGCAAAACATATCATGCAGCAAATCTGGAAAACTGAACAGGGATGGGACGATCCTCTACCAGATGACCTGGTTCGAACTTGGAACCTCTTACTTAATGACCTCCCAGTACTATCAAAAATCGAAATTCCGCGTTTTGTATTGACAACTAGTGAGTCCCACGTAGAATTATGTGGATTTTGCGATGCCTCGGAACGAGGGTATGCAGCGGTAGCATACTTGCGAATAACGTCACTGTCAGGACTGGTCACAGTGCATCTTCTCGGCTCCAAAACAAAGACCGCGCCCATGAAGACCAGCACTATCCCAAGATTAGAGCTATGTGCGGCCGTGCTTCTGGCCCGCTGGTTGACTCGACTCCTCACAGTTTTTGGTAATCGACTCCGCGTGGACGGGATCTTTGCGTGGTCTGACTCCCAGATAGTGCTCTCATGGTTGATCAACCCTCACACTTGTTTCAAAGTATTTGTCTCGAATCGAGTGCATTTAGTCCGTCAGTTAGTACCATCCTGCCATTGGGGTTACGTCCGGTCGGCCGAAAATCCGGCGGATTGTGCCTCCAGAGGTTTATTGCCCTCAAACTTGGTCGAGCACTTGGTATACTGGTCGGGTCCTGCCTTCCTGAAGGACGCTGTTGACACTTGGGATATGTCGATCGCAGTGGTACCTATTGAGCAGCTCCCGGAAACGAAAGTTCTCTCTGTATCTGTCCAAGTTGAACCGGATGCCGAGTGGTTTAGTCGATTTTCGTCATATCATAACATGGTCAGAGTGGTTGCCTGGATGCGTCGCTTCGCAGGCCGAGCCCGACAACAGACATACACAACAGATTATCTGACGCGTGAGGAACTTGGAGAATCGCTCATCGTCTTGGTCAAACAGTCTCAAACCTGTTGGTTGTCTAAGCTCCACGCAGACTTAGCTAGCGGCCGCCCTGCCCAACGGTCATTGGCTGGTCTGAGGCCCTTCGTTGATGCACGTTGCGTTGTCTGCGTCGGAGGCCGCTTGACACGTTCTAATCTGACCAGTGCCGAGAAACAGCCTATCTTGTTGGCTAAGGAGTCCCACTTATCGGTACTAATCGCGCGACATTGGCACCTGGTAACATGTCACTCAGGGCCTCGGGTAATTACGTCATTGATCACACGACAATTTTGGATAATATCGGTGAGGGCGGTAATCCGCCGCGTCATCGGTCAATGCACGATCTGTGTACGAACCCTCGCCCAAAGTCCCCACCCCGTGATGGCAGACTTACCAAGCTCTCGCGTCCAAATGTGTCGCCCATTCACTCGGGTAGGCATCGACTACGCTGGGCCAATGTCTATGCGTGAGTGTCGTTTACGTAAGGCTCGACAATACAAAATTTACGTGGCGGTGTTTGTGTGCATGGCGACTAAGGCCGTCCACCTGGAAGTCGTGTCCGAGCTGTCTACTAATGCATTCTTGGCGGCCTTCGACCGATTCGTGGCACGTCGAGGTTTGCCTCAGGACATATTCTCTGATTGTGGCACGAACTTCGTGGGGGCCGCCAAATACCTCCGCGCTTTAGTTAACGACCCGACTATCCGACACGCAGTAACCTCCCATGCTCCTTGCGTCTGGCATTTTAATCCACCAAGCGCACCGCATTTCGGTGGCTTGTGGGAGGCTGCGGTACGGTCATTTAAAACCCTCTTGACACGACTCGTTGGTGTCCATAATTTCAGTTGGGAAGAGATGACCACCGTACTGTGCCGCATTGAAGCAGTGTTAAATTCACGGCCGTTAACCCCGATGTCGTCATCCCCGATGGACTTAGACTACTTGACACCGGGGCATTTCTTGATTGGTCAGCCGTTGCTGGCAGTTCCAGACGTATCAATACCCGAGGGTTGTAGTAAGGTAGTCAACAGGTGGAAACTACTGCACCAGTGCCACCAGTCTTTTTGGCGTCGGTGGTCCACCGAGTATCTGAGCTCCCTTCAAGTCCGAACTAAGTGGACAGTTGATGTGCCCAACTTGCAATGTGGAGATATGGTAGTGGTCAAAGATCAAAATCCACCCATGAGTTGGCGATTGGGCCGCATTGTAGATGTGACCCCCGGTAACGATGGTGTGGTCCGAGTGGTCAAATTGAACACCGCTACGGGGGAGCTCACCAGACCGGTAGTTAAGTTGGTGAAGTTACCTATGGATCAGTAGGTCGCAAGGACCTGCGCGCTTGGTTGGTCGGTGTGTCACACCGGATCCTTTACAGTAATTTATTATTTTCCCACGCATACCTGTTCACCGTGGAGGGTCCACGGGTGGCGCTTGTCTGGATTCGGGTGACGAAAGTTCAACCGAAAACACAAAGAGGTGACATAGCTTTTACGAACTTAGTTACTTAAATTATGTTTTGTGGTCACCTCGGTTGTCAATATTGTAACAACTATGCCAAGCCCTTTAACGTAACACCGTTAAAACCAACCACCCTATGTATGTCATGTACTTTATTTATTCCATGTATCTTATGTATTTTACGCACCCTATGTATGTCATGTACTTTATTTATTCCATGTATCTTATATTCTTATGTATGTTACGCACCCTATGTATGCCATGTACCTTATGTATTTTACGCACCCTATGTGGGCCATGTATGTTATTTTATGTGTGCACCTTGTGTAGTACCTGTACCTTTTTTTTTTAATATGTATAATTTAGGGCGACGTACCATACCACGTCATCACACTTCGTATCTCAGCACCGTTTCACTTCAAGATTGTGAGGATGAACCTCCCATGGGGGAGCATGTTCGAAACTCAGCGTCATTGCGTGTATACCCGGCTTGACCAGCCGTACCGGGTGCGCGCGCCGGTGGCGCATAAACGCCGATACGAGCCGCCGCCGTTGAGTGCAAGTTGCGCGCTCACGCAACCGGTCTATTACTTTTAGTGTGCTTCGTAAAGCGGGCGGTTGAGCTCACGTCTTTTGTGCGTTTCCGCCGCACTGCCTAAGTACTAAGTGAATTGTGGTGCCTCCGCTGGAAATCTTTGTGTAACCAACGACTACACGGGTGTCCGTCTGTGGGCCTCAACTCGGGCCGTCGTGTACCGTGCCGTCCGAAAGTGCCGTTCGTTTTTGCACGCCTTAGCGACCACTATCGTCGCCGCTGCTGCCGAACACGTCTCCGTATACAGCCGTTGCACCCGCCGCCGCCGCGACTCAAATAGATCGGCTGTAGGCCAAGGTCGTCTCCGTCGTCGCCGCGCGTTGATAATTCAGCAACACACTGCCGCAGCCGTAACAGCTGCCGCCACTCCACTCCGCGCATCCATCGTCGTCGTCGCTGGTATCGTTGTCGATTATATCATTATATTTTGTTATTGTTATTATGATTGCGCTCTAGTGTGAGCTAATCACTTATAATTATTGTATGCTGAAACGGGGAGACGTCTCCGCCAGCTTTTATACTGTCGTACTCTTAAAGGGTATTTTTTTTTATTGATATTACATTGTAGTGCTACAGGCACATGTTTAATTACTACACAGCATTCAGTGTTATTCTTATATATACATAAACGGGATTTAACGGTGTTACCTTGTTCCCTATACTCTCGTCACCAGAATCGTTAGGCCGACCGCCGGTTCCGTAGGAGCCCGACGGTGCCAACACACTTAGTAAGTGATAAACTAATTACTAATCAGAATATATTATTTTTATTTTTAATGATTTTAATTTTCTTTCTATATTAATAACCTTTAATAGATTCTTGTGAAACCGTGGATTCCTCCTACCACGTATGCATTTCCAATAACAGAGCAAAATAAAAAAAGAAAACTTAAATTTCAGTATGAATGGTTTACTACTTATAACTGGTTGGTTTATTCGGAGTTACAAGAAGGTGCTTTTTGCAAGTTTTGCATGGTATTTGCTACAACTGGTGGTGTTGGCCAACAAAAATTAGGAGCTCTTACTTTAACAGCTTTCAAAAATTGGAAAAATGCTAAAGAAGTTAGGGTGCAATCATTAAATTAATTAATTTTATTTTCTAAATATATCATTTTAAAATGTTATAGGTGTTTAATGACCATTCGAATTATGACTATCATAAACTGTCTGTTGCAAAAGCAGAAGGGTTTTTGAACATCTATTGCAACAAAAAACCATCAATAATTAATGCCTTAGATGACGACAGGTTAGATAATTAGAAATAGTAATATATAATATTGTATTACCTAAGTTTTTTAATTTTGGCTTTTCATAAATATTTAATATTTAGAGTAAAAATAATAAAACAAAATAGAGAAAGACTGATTCCAATTATAGAATGTATCTTACTATGTGGATACCAAGAAATTCCCTTAAGAGGTAGTAATGATTTTGGTCCAATTAATTTTAAAAGTAAGTTACCTATCAAAATAAAATTATAATTACTGTGTAGCGTGTTACTTTATTTTTATTTTTTAGCTTCAACTCATAATGAAGGTAATTTTCGGGCTATTTTAAAATATAAAACAAAAGATATTGAGTCATTAAAGTCACACGCGGACAGCCAAGCTGAATGCACACGTTTTTATGCCTCCGTGTTATGTTTAAAGTAGTGTCGTTTAAACTTGTCGGAAATTTTCGTACTTTATATCAATCGACGCAGTTTTTTATGAAGCTGTTGACCCCAGTGTCTACCAGCTGCAAAAATCAACCTTCATTTGTGGAAATAGATTTAAGTTTACTAAGTATACGTGCATGGTTTTATAATATACCTAATCACACTTCAAGGCATCGCCCGGCGGTGACCTTTGTCCACGCGATTACGACAATATTAGATATTAATATTATAATCTACGTACTCGACTTTAATTAATCGATTTCGTAGTCCGTAAAAACTTATCTTTCAACACAGTAAACATTTAAATATGGATAACCGTAAACAAAATAATACAAATAATAATAACAAGACTAAAAATGCAATTGTAATTAAATCCAAGCCACCGAAGAAACCTGCCAATAATGATAATAAACGTAATCTCTCAAGCTCGTCCAATTCAGAACCATCGTCACCAAATTTACTTCAACATGTAAGCAAAAAATTATTTGTGACTCAAAATCGGTTTGAATTATTAAAATCAACCGAACCAGCTGATGAAATTACTGAAACTATTATAGAGGAAAAGCAGTCTGCTGATCCAGTTCTCACTTACTCTAAACCACCCCCTCCAATCTTCATGCGAGGCGTATTAGACTTCCCCGGTGTTTGTACTGAATTAATCGAATTAATCGGTGTCGATAACTTTATTTGCAAGTCAACGGCTGATCATTTAAAAATCCAAACCTCCAATCCCGGAGCATATAGAACATTAGTCCAATACTTAAGAAATGAACATGCTGAATTCCATACATTCCAGCTAAAGGAAGATAAGCCAATGCGCATAGTTATTCGTAACTTACACCCATCTACTTCAACGGAATTGATCAAAAGTGAACTTGAACATCGCCTATACGAAGTTAGACAAGTTACGCAGGTTATTCACAGAATTAGTAAAATACCCCTGCCATTATTTTTTGTCGACCTCGAGCCGACAGATCATTCAAATGAAATCTTTAAACTTGAATCCTTACTGCACACAAAAATTAAAATAGAAGAACCTCATAAACCAAAAATTATCAGCCAATGTCATAACTGCCAAGCTTATGGTCACACTAAAGCCTACTGCGGATATAGTACTCGCTGTGTCCGGTGCGGTGATGACCACTCCTCATCTGCCTGTCCAAACTCACGACAAGACCCAATGCGATGCGCCCTCTGCACAGGTAACCACCCAGCAAACTACAGGGGATGTACAGTTTATAAAGACCTCCAGCAACGTAAGAAAACCAACCTAAATAATCACAAATTACATGTAAACTCTAGTTATAAGTCTAACAATGTACAAGATAGCCACCCACGTAATACCACTTCCTACAATCCTCCTTCTGACCAATCTCAAACGTATGCCCAGGCAACTCAAGGCCAACATGTAAAATCTGATATTCCTCCGCCAACTCCTGATATTAATTCTTTAATGTCAAGCTTTGTAAGCGAGCTTAAGACTCTTATAAATCCGTTAATCTCATTACTTACTCAAGTAATCTCAAGTCTATTGGCTAGGAAAAATGAATAATTCTGTTACAAATAAGTCCCTCCTAGTTTTACAATTAATGATAATGGTCCAAAAAATCATCTAACTTAATCCTAACGAGATCTCCTTAACTAATAACCAATAAAAAAAAAAAAAAAAAAAAAAAAAAAAAAATATAAATAAATAAAAATAAAAGTCAATAGGAAGTGTCACTACTGGGTGGCTTCTTCCTTTATAAAACTTCCTAGCTTCAATTTTATAGGGTTACCATAGGGTGATTTCTTAATCAAGTCTTTTCATGTTTAACTACTCTGTTCACATATACTTATTATGCTAATTGTATAGATTGTATATTATCTCTTAAAAATAAAAAAAAAAAAAAAAAAAAAGTCACACCTTGAGTCAGATACAAGAAATAAGTATTTAAGTCCCCAAATTCAAAACGAGATAATTAACATTTGTGGAGATATTTTAACAAAAAAACTGGTTGATAAAGTTAATAAGTCTCAATGCTTTTCGGTGATGGCTGATGAGACCACAGATGTGTCGGTATCAGAACAATTGACAATATTTGTACGCTATTTAAGTGGTACTGGTTCTAATATTGAAATAAATGAGGATTTTTTAAAATTTTATGAAATTAGTAGCTTAACTGGAAATGATTTGGCATCAGCAATTCTCAATGGTAAGTTCTACCTATATATTATATATTTATATGAATAGTTCTATATTTATAATTTAAATAAATAAATAAAATAATATAGTATGATTTAACTTTTAGGGCTAAATTCATGTGGGGTAGATTGTGATTTTTTATTTGGCCAAGGGTACGATGGTGCAGCAAATATGGCTGGTCGTTTTAAAGGAGCTCAAACAATTATACGCTCTAAGCATCCAAAAGCCTTATACGTCCATTGTGCTGCACACTCGCTCAACTTAGCAGTGTCATCTGCATGTAATATTCCATCGATTAGGAATTGCCTCGGAATTGTTGAAAAATATTATTGTTTTTTTAATTTCTCCAAACGAAATCACGAACTTTTAGAAGTTATCAATAATGGTGATTGGCAACCTAATGTAAAATCTTTAAAACGTCTGTGTATGACAAGGTGGGTACAAAGATATGACGCCATCAATGATTTTATTGAGTTATTCCCTTGTGTTGTTACTGCACTAAATAACATATCAGAATGGAATGATGGTAGTGGTACAAGTACTGATGCTAGCATGTTATTAAATGCAATTGATTCGGAATTTCTTGTGGCTCTTCAAGTTATAAAGGTATTAATTTTTATCCTTACCTATATATTAAATTCTACTTAATAATCACAATTAAATTATATTAGTTTGAATTTTATTTTTGTTGAATAGGTTTTATTTTCATTTGGTTTGCCACTATGTAAACAGCTGCAAAAAAAAAAACATAGATTTAAGAGAAATGATCAGTTTGGCCAATATAAGTATCAAGGTTCTAGAAAATTTAAGGGAAAATGTAGATCATGAATTTAAAAAAATATTCAAAGAAGCTCAAGTAATGAATGCCATAAATTCAATTTTAATGTTCATTTTTTTTAACTATTGTAACGTATGTTACATCATTACGTTTATTTTATAAGCATCATAATATGCACATTAGGCATATTATGCGCTGACTGTAATAATATATTAAGCCCCTCCGGTTTAGGTGACACATATATATTTTATGATTGTAAGGCTCCGGCCAATATCCCTATGTAAGAGAATACCAGTTCTCCGCGAGTCCATCACGTGCACCTGAACTCCGTACAATCCTACATTTTTGGTAACTTTGTTCGTAAATTGTAAGTTATAATAAATAATTTGTTTATATTAATAATAATTTAGATCAATCGTTATTTATTTGTAATATTAAGATCCTAATACCATTCGTGCTCCCGAGCTACGGTAAAAATATATTCAAAAGAATTAATTTCTTCCCTGAATATCTTATATTTAACGGGCCATCCCCGACCACGTTACACTATGATTATATTTTTAAATAGAGATTGGCTGAGATGTTAGACTTTGAAATATCAGTCAAACGGTTAGCAAACCGTCAAAAACACCGCTCTAACTACATAATATCAAGTGATGATCCTGAAGATTATTATCGGGTCTCTATATGTATCCCTTTCATCGAATCTTTTATATGTCAATTAAATGAAAGATTCTTGGCTCACCAAAATATTTTCAAAGGTAACAGTATCGAAAACTATATCAATGATTAACTTCTTATATATTTTAATTCTAAACAATATTTCAGGTTTTCAGTGTTTGTTTGATGACACTAATTCGGATCATACAGATTTTGAGACTCTGGTTTCTTTTTATCTACCACAAATTGATTTGACTACAGCAATCTGTGAGCTACAAATTTGGAAACAAAAGGGCAAGTGTGTAGCAGTTGGTAGTGATGAAGTGATTACATCAAATGCATTAGATGCTATCAAGCACTGTGATCCTATCATTTTCCCAAATATATTTACACTGTTAAAAATTTTGTGCACACTGCCAGTGTCTACTGCCACGCCTGAAAGAACTTTTTCCAGTTTGAAAAGAGTAAAGACCTATCTTAGAAATAGCATGAAAGAAGTATGTTTTAATAATATATATTTATTTTCATTTTATTAATTAAACACTACTCTAAATAGGATCGTTTAAATGGATTGGTGCTCTTAAGCTACTATCGAAACATCGAAATAACGCCGGAAGAAGTACTGGACGAACTAGCAAAAAAAAAAAGAAAAATAGATCTGATATTATAACTTATAAGACACTAAAATAAAGATATATAAATAAAATAAAGATATAAAAATATAAATAATGCGTTATTTTTTCTTAATTTACTATAACATGTTATTATTATAATAAACCCCCCCCCATATAAAATTCCTGTCTACGGCACTGCACATCACCCATATACATATTTAACGGGGCGTGTGTAAAGCGTTTTCCGTTAATAGTTATTAAATCGTAGGCAAAAATCGTACTCTTGTACACGTATATACTATAATATTAACGCGTACGGTCGGTCGGTCGCCGGCCTCATTTATAAACACGATTGCGAAGCGAACCGACCGATTTCGTAAGAAAAGCGTATATATACGGATTTAGAAAGACGTCAACTACACGATTCGGGCACAAACGGCGTGCACAAAGACGAAACTGTCGAAGAAAACGAAAAAAATCGGCAAAAAAGTCCGGCCTGGAGCGTATTTTGCGATCGACATTGCGACGGCTACGGACGGCGCACGGATATAAACCGCCCACCGGTGGCTTCGAGCAGTGGCGCACATAGGGTTATTTCCCGGGGGGGGGGGGGGTTATTCTATTAATAGTTTACTAAAGAGATTAATATTTTATAGCCCTAAGCAAACATATAACAAAATGTTGTATAAAAAAAGTATATCTAACATATTATTATAGTCTAAATATCAATTATAATTTTTGTAATTTATTACAAATAGTTTAAAAAGGTCGATATAATTAAAAAATAGTTAACTTGCTTATTGCTATAGTACAACTACAACAATTTATGCATTATGCAATATAGTATAATTTAGTACTATAAAGCATAATAAAGTACAAGGTATAGTATAATTTTATAAATGTAAAGCCAATCTCTTGTTTGATGTTTTTCCCATCTCATTGACTATCTCCTCGGGTGTTATTAGTATGTCCCTGTGAATGTTTAACATGGATAAACCATTAAGTCGGTTTTGTCCAGTAGTATTCCTTAAATACATTTTAATGCGCCGTAAATTAGAAAATGAACGTTCACCTGATGCAGTTGTAACTTGTAACTGGTAAAGTAATGAAAATTTGAAGCAACTTTGAAATAATTGTATACATTTCTGAATTACACTGGATGAATAAATCTGTTACAGTGATTTTAGATTGTTAAGAACATTGTGCCTGATGTTCAAAGCTATTATGCTATAATTTTAATTCAGCACAGCATGAATATTCATTTAATATATCATCATTCAAGATATCTTTATATGTTTCCAGCAGTAACTTAAATTGGTCTTCAATGTCTTTGGTAACTTTACGGTTAGGCTTTGGTATTAAACAATCAAAACTCATTAATATGGACTGATGTTCCAAAAACCGATTTTGTAATTGCTCTATAAAATTATCGAGAAAGGGGATGAATACTGCTACTCGCTAATAACTTTCCGGGGTGTCAACGTCTACATTATTTCTGTGTGTTTGCCGACAAGATATTCTAGGAACACAAACAGCAATTTCCAATGTGCTACAATTTTTTTCAATTGACAAACAATTCATTGAATTATTTATCAGCATTTAAACGAATATCTTTTAATGTAACTTGTGTGTTTTCAGCAAAAGAAAGGGCATTTTCTAGATCCAAATTTTCTGTTTGTAAAAATTTGCTGAGTGACACTGATATTGAAAACAGTTTAACAAGAATCATCATTGATATTTGGAATTTAAATTGGTGTATTGATGCTAGAAGTTGATTTGCCGCTGATGAAGTATCTGTATCTTTCCACAAAGAAATGTCTTCTAGAGCAGAAATGATTGCAGGCTGTAATTCATAGTACAGTATGACAGCGTCATGACGTTCAACCCATCTTGTTGGGCAAAACTTTTTCAGTTTAAATGATTTTTCATCTGGTAAAAGCTTTGTAATAGTACCTAAAAGTACATTTGATCTCTTAGGATATGAGAGAAAATTGCATACTGTTTGCATAGTTCCCATACAATTCCTAATATCAGGGATTTTACAAGAAAAAGAGATAGTCAAATTTAGGCAATGAGAACTGCAGTGTATATATAATGCCATTGGGTGTTTTGTTCGTATATGAACTTGAGTACCATTGAATATTCCGGACATAGAGGCTGCTCCATCATATCCCTGTCCAACTATTTACTTTGTTTCTATATCCATGGATTGAAGATTGTTTAGTATGGTATGGACCACTAGTAAATCGGTTTTCAAGAGTAACTACTACAACATGTGTTGTTAATTCTGTTGGAAGGTTAGAGCATATTAATTGTTGTCTTGTTATGAAGGAAAAAGCAACATGTTGTGTCAGTTGTCGACGACTTCCCCGCAGGCAGATACATACCCTAACCTAGTTAAGATTCTATGAACCTTGGGAGAGTAGGGGCTCCCACTTTGTCATATAATATAACTGTTTTGTTTTGTTGTTGCTATAGTAGTGAGTAGGAGACAGCCTACCACTTCTAAAAATAGGACACGAATTTGATTGTTTCAATAAACGATGGAGGCCGGAGGAGAAGTATTGGCAAAATTGGTTCCTTCTCCGGTCCTCGATATCACGTAAAAAAAAAAAAGATGTCGATGACTTGTAAATGTATTGACAATGCGTGAGATAAGAAAAAATGCTGGTGCTCAAGAGCACTTACTCTTATCACCTTCCAAACGAAAACTATTTAATAAAATACACCATGAAAAGAAATGTCTTAAGAAGAAAGTTGTACGTGCTAAAGAAAATATCAATGAACTTAATTCAGAACTAAGTAAAGTTAAAAAAAATATGGCAACATTTTGTGACAAAAAGATTGAAGAACAATTAAATAATATGAGTGGTATTAATGAGTCACAAAAAACATTAATGAAAGAATGTTTTGCAGCCAGCAAAACTAAAAATACCAAGAGTCGGAGATATAGTGAAAATTGGCTAATGCTTTGTCTACTATTTAATATTAGATCACCCGGTGCTTATAAATATTTACGCGATAGTCAACTTTTACCTCTTCCTCATCCAAAAACAGTTCAACTACTCTCCTGTCTTAAAAGTACTTATGGTTTTGATGAAGATTTTTTATCACTTTTAGCAAAAAAGTGCAACACATGTCTACCATGGAAAAACACGGAGTCCTTCTGTTTGACGAAATTAGTCTCAGAAAAAGTATACAAGTTAGTTCATCTAATTTGTCATACATTGGACTTGAAGACCATGGTAATGAATCTACATGTCACAAAGAATTTTCTGACCACGCCTTGGTTTTTATGTGGCAATCATTGGGTTCAAACTTTTCCCAGACAATTGGAGTTTTTGCTTCAAAGGGTGATGTTAAAGGTAAGTTAGTAAAAAAAATAACAATAATTTAATATTTTGTTAGTCAAATTTAATTATGATATTTGTATTTCTAAAAAAAATTGAGGTACTTTGTTGTCTCAACTGGTTCTAAAAGCTATAACATTGGTTGAAAATACAGGCATTATAGTGGATGGTATAGTTTGTGATGGAGCTACAATAAACAAAAAAATGTGGACAGAACTCGGTATAAATGGAACCCAAGGAAATTAAAAAAATTATGAAACAAGGAAGATTTTTGCTTTTTCTGATTTTATGCACCTTATTAAATGTGTACGTAATCGTCTTTACAATAGCAAATCTTTACGTGTAAGTATTAAAACAATTTAATTTAGGTATTTAAAAATAATACCTACATTGTAAATATTGATTTTTTTATATTTTATTAACTAATGATATTAGTTGCACCCTGATAGCGACAGCGTATCTTGGAAATACTATGAAGAGGTGTATAAAAACGATGTAGTACATCCTGCAAAGTTAAGAATGATTCCAAAAATAACTCCCAGCCATCTAAACCTTACTTCTATGTCTAATATGAGAGTTCGCCTTTGTACACAGGTAAATATAATAAATTAATTTCATTACTTTGTTTTACTTGGACATTAAAATGCTTATGCCAATTAAGTGTGCTGTGATGCATGTTTGTAAGATGGAGACAACACATGCCTGTGTGTAGCGTCATCTTAAAAACTAAATATCTTTAGCTTAATGTTGAAATAAGCTATGGGAACTGCCAATTTTAGTTATATTAAAGTAGAGTTTAATTTGCTTAATTAAAATGCTTATAACTGAGCTTAGGTTTTCAGTTCAAGTATGGCTTGTGCTTTGCGCTTTTATATGAAAAAAGGTAGCCTAATGCTGAAAAGAGCTACTGAAACAGCTAATTTTACCGTTTATTGGAACAACTTATTTGGTAATCTAAATAGAAATTTGCCATGACAAGGATTAAAATTAGGCGATGATGGATTTGAGGTTTATATTATTTAAAAGAAATGTATCTACCTAATTAGTCAAATTATTTTTAGAAATTTAAGGATGCCATTAACTACTTGAATTGTTGTGAAAATGAAATGTATGCAGGGCGCATAACACCAGCAATTCTTAACGCTGCAGACATCACAAGGTGTCTTCGTGTAACATTGCAGTCAACTATTGACTTATCAACTTATTTACTAGAATACTACGTTCTCACTGGAAAAATGTGCCAGGATCCTTTAGAGGTAAGCATTAGTAAATGTGTATTTAATATTAAACATAAATAATTGAATTGTTATTTAAATACTCTTAAGAAATTCTTTGGAATTATGCGCCAGTCTGCGGGGCCGAATGATCATCCGACTACCCCTATTTTTCTACATCTATATAAGATACTGTCTGTGTATTCTGTATTGAAACCACCTAAACAAGGCAATTGCACTATTACAAAAGCAGATGTTCCAAAAGTATCTTTAGCAGATCTACGTGACATATTTGAAAATAAAACCTCTGAGAGGTTTAATAAAATTGAAAAATTAAAAGCTAAATTGGACAGTCTTATAGAAGACAATAAGTGGGAAGCATGTGATGTATTACCTGACATGGAATCTAAAAGTGAATCGAGCATCAGAGACTGTTTGGTATATTATGTGTGTGGATATGTTACCAGAACAATACTAAAACATAAGAAATGTGAAAAATGTATAGAGTTTTTGAGAAGTGGCGACATTAATCATCAGTTGGGTGAATTAGTAGAAGCCAAATCAAGAGGTCAATTAATACATCCCAATAAGTATCTATTTGACTTTCTAAGCTCAGTTGAACATTCCTTTTCTGAACATTGTACTGATATTGATGTTTTTGAAAAAGTAGTAAGTGACATTACTCAAAATATTCAATTTAAGTTCAGCTGTAGATTACATTTGGTTAAAGTAACTACAGAAATTATTGTTTATTACATTCAGATGAGGATGAGGCAATATTCTTATCAGGAGAACCTTAAATGTAAAAAAATATCAAAATTATATCATACTTAATCATTCTTAATATCATACCTAATTTCTGTTATTATTATTATTATATTTCTAATAAATCTTAACAATTGCTATTTATTTCACTTAAAATACCATTAAAAACATAGGTAAGTACTGAAAACAATCTTAACGTCATTGCATTATACTATAAGTGTTTTTTTTTTAGTTTTCAAATTCAAAACGTTCTTCGATTTGAAACCAGTAAGTTCTTATAGGTAATTCGGGTTTTCAAACTTAAAATATTAGCTGGGTGGTATAAATAGAAAACGTGTAAGCAGTGGGCTATGGAAGAAGGGGGTTATTTAAAAAACCACTGGATGTAAGTAGACAAAATCTCCCCCAAACAACGCTGATCATTTCCAAAATACCGCACCTTAATAAGGCCAGTCCATAGAAAACAAAAGAAAGAAAGACATACCGACTATAGTCGGGTGAATGAAAAGTGGCCGCTCACGCTCACGCGACTAGCGGTGAATTTTTATCAGTGTACCGCAAAATTATGGAAAAAAGCGCGCACTTTTTGAATTATTATTCATAATGCAATATTACATGTTATTCCAATACAAATTAATAATTTTAATAACAACAAAAGCAATAATAATTCAATTTAATTCAGAACTAATTCAAATGTACGTACAAGTCAAATATAATACAAATTAAGATCAAATATACACAAAACAATTTATTTTATATTTTAATCTAAAAAACTTAAACTCAAGATATGTCTTCATCACCCCAATCGCTATCGTCGTGTAATGTGATAATGATCGGCTCCAACATGACGTCCCTCAATACTTCTTTGCTATTATCTTCCTCTTGAATTTTTTCCGCATGCGCAACACACTTTTGCCAATCCTCCTGTGTAACTGCATCCATAGCCGCGTGCGCCAACTTCTCTACGTCTGCCATCTTGAAAGTATTATTTTTTTAGCTACCTCCCCTTTAACCTGTGCCCAAATTAATTCAATTGGATTATATTGACAATGGCATAGAGGTAACGTTATCACTTCATGGCCTTTTTCCAGTGCTATTTCGTCCAATTCATATCGTTTATATGTTGGAATAAGTTGTTTTACACGCTCACGTAATTCAGACAACCGTTCTTGTGGCGAAAATTCAATATTTTTATTTTTCAGCCACTCTTCAACAACAATTTTTCGACTATTACTTTTGGGGAAATTATCTTTAAGCGTTGAGTGGTAAGATGCGTTGTCCATCACAATAACCGACGGCTCTTCGAGGTGGTTCAGCATATCAATAAACCAATTTTTAAACACCTCAGCATTCATTGAGGTATGATAGTCACTCTCAAGACTGCTAACGTTAGCTCGAAATATTAATTTGGAATCGCTAACAAACCCATATTTTGCAGACCCTGCGTGGCAAATAATTAGGCGACCTCCTTTGCCAGTGGGTACTTTTAAACCTGCGGTGTTTTCGTCATTTTGAAAATATGAGTGTCCTCCTATGGTTTTGGTTTATCCACGTCTCGTCCAAATAAGCGACAGGACGGGTGTCGTTTTGTTCCCGAAGTGTACACATTTTTCTTAAAAATGCACAACGTTGTGCAACAATGTCATTCCTTTCCATGAGAAATTTCCTTCCATCGTTGCACTTTTTGAAAGAAAATTTCAAATTTTTTAGAAGCGTACGCATCGACCAAACAGAGCCTTCCTAATTTCATTTCTTCTTTACCTCCGTTAAAACAGTAAGAGCTGTTGGGTACTCACCTCTATTGTAGAACTCGTGCACTATTCTACGTACTATATCTGCATCGAAATCGTCTAATTCAGTCAACGGTTTTGCACTTTTATACGTTTTACGTGGAGACTTGAACGAAGCAACTTGTTGTTCTGGATCCAAACTATCCTTACCCTCTTTGCATACGCGCTTCACGGTTCGTTCTGACAATCCACAAGCTTCAGCTGTTACCTTTAGGCTTTGAGCAAACATAGATGGATCAATTTCATCTTGTTTCGATAGGTCTTTTATAAAATTGTACACCGAAAAAATTATTTTTTTGGTCTGACTACGAGTATCACTACTATTGCCGGCCATTATAGAATTTAATAAAAAAAAAAACTTTAACTTAAATACAGTAGTAAATAATAATGTAATGGTGAAACTCACTTTCCGAAGTCAAATGTAACAAAACACAACATAACACGGATAAAAATCGTTGCCGAATGACGTTTATCGGAGTAGGGAAGCAGATGTTACGATTAACATAGTACAATACACATTCCTCATGTAGTTTATATATGTTGTCCCGCCTGGATAGGGTCCTTGCATAAAATATAATACAAACGCCGAAGGTGACAATTTGTAAGTGGTAACTATAAACCAAGCACGAAGCCAAAAAGGAAAAAAAAACGTTTTCAACCCCGCACCGGCCAGATCAATCGCGCTTTGCGTGTTCACTTTGAGAACCCATGGCTTATCAAAAAAAAAAAAGTTCCTATCATATAGCCAGCGGCCACTTTTCATTGACCCGACTATAAAGGTAGGTACACACGTAGAGGAAATCCTCGAGGCCATTCCTCGAGGAAATTCCTCGCCGCCACACGCACGGGAATTAATCGAGGATTTTATTTTTCAGTCATCGTACCTACTACCCACCCTACAGCAGATTATGCAGACTTGAAGTTTTCGACAGTTATTTCCCCACAGGCTCTTAGTTGCATCATTCCAGAAACTTGTAATGCTATATATCAAATTCTACACCAGGATTATTTAAAGGTAAAAATAAAAATGAATTAATTAATTTTTGTATATTTTGTTATAATTTGTAAAATTGTTAAAATAATTATTGAAATCACAAACTCTAATTAAAATTTTTGAATAAATCTGAAACTGAATTGTGTAGAGGTACATCTTGTGGTATGCTTTGTTGTAAGTTGTAGTATTCCTGATTTTGTATAGTTGACTGTTCAAGTATTGGGCTGGGAGTTCCTGAAGAAGTGAGCATTGGACTTATCGGAGAGTGGTAGGCAAATTCTGTTGCAGTATTAACTACTCTATGGTTCAATGTTAAGCTACCCAATTCTGCTAGAAATAAAGTATCATTGATGATTCTGTCAACAAATAGCATCTGGTCTTCTGGTAGGTCTCGTAGTTTCATGGCAACAGTTTTAACACTCATGTCGAAACGATCTTCTTTAATGGCAGGTTTTCTAAAATGATCTTTGACAGTCAGCAACACTTCATTAGCTAAAGCTTCTTGTTTTTCTACTTCAAATTTTTGTTTTTTTCGACGAATATTTATTGGTGTTCGTTCCGAATCACTGGATTGTGCTTCATTATGAGATATATTTTCCTCACTAACTGCACTTGAAGTGGCAAGAACCTGAGACGTTTCTTCTTCATTATCACTGTCCTAAATAAAAAATTACATATCATACTTATTTAATAATAATATATTGATATTAAATAAAACAACTATATTTAATTATTATAGTATTGAAATAATTAAGCATTTTTTTTTTTATTATATTATTATAGATTCCTTGCACGGCCCAAGAATGGAAGGTTATTTCAAATGAATTTGACATAAAATGGAATTTTCCCCACTGCCTAGGAGCTATGGATGGAAAACATATTACCATTGTACATTTGTACCCCCTGCAGGAAGTGGGTCTAATTATTACAATTATAAAGGAAGGCACAGTATGGTTTTACTTGCTATAGCTGACGCCAATTATAACTTCATAATGTGTGATTTTGGTACAAATGGAAGAATTTCAGATGGCGGAGTTCTTAAAAACACGATATTTTATGAAAAACTTGAAAAAAATTTATTAAACATCCCTCAGCCTGACAGAATCAGAAACTCCGATATCAATGTGCCCTACGTTTTTGTCGTAGATGATGCTTTCCCTCTGACAGAAAACACGATGAAACCATTTAGACAAGCTCAATTAACTTCTACCAACAGAAAGATATTTAACTACCGCTTATCCCGAGCCAGACGCATAATTGAAAATGCATTCGGTATTCTGGTGGCTCGATTTAGAATATTTCATACAGCAATCAACTTGAAACCAGAACACATTGATTCCGTCGTTATGGCCTGCTGTGTACTACATAATTTTTTACTTAATATGGTACCTAGTTCGTATGCTCCTCCAGAGTGCTTTGACAGAGAAAATAAGAGTGAACGTACAATTTTAACAGGATATGAAGCACAAAACGATCACACCTATGGATTAAATAGAAGCAATATTTAGGAAACCCCCACCTCGATCGGCCAAAGAGTTGCGTGAGGATTTTATGAAATATTTTGCTAATGAAGGTCAAGTTCCTTGGCAACAGGACTGTATTTGAAATTGTATTATTTTCTTATACTAACTAAATAATTTTTAATAAATATTAAAATCTATACTATTTAAAATATGTCAACATTGTATGCTATGTATATAATTAAAATTATTACTTACGTTTCCAAAAATACTGTTGTCATTATCAAAATCGTTTTCTAAACTGGAATGGGAAGTTCTTGGCGTATCTTGGTCACCCAGAAAACTAAATCAAAAAATAATATACTATACTAACATACCTAGCAATATCAAATGTAAAAAATACATTAAAAAAATTGTATTTAAAATACCATATAAATACTTCAGTGTTTAAATACTAGTATTCAAAACTGGACTTACCTCAACAATGAAAAGTACCACAATTTTGGCTTGTATACAGTGTCAGCTGACGCACCAGACTTAATGGATTGTTTTATTTTTTTGTTCTCTTTTCTGTAGGCGCTTCTTAGGTTGTTAATTTCTTTTATTACGCTTTCTTTTGTGGCGTTAGATTCGATTTCTTGTTGTTTGTTTACCAGTTTACCAGTTTCCCATATGCCGTATCTTTCTTATTCTTGTCATGGTATTCTTTTGACTTTACATTCCAAAGACAAGGCTCGCTTTCATAAAGCTTTATAAACTCTTCCGTGAATTCGCGGCTCATTTTCCAAGTTCGTTCAAAGGAGATAAGTTGAAAGGAAAGGTTGTACTTTGTATGCTTGTAGCAAAATACGTCAAATGATAACAATAAAATATGAATAATAACAAATTAATTATAGTGATATCGCATGAATTCTCAAGGCAGACCTCACAGTGCCTCCACACGTGCGAATTTGAACTGTACAGTCTGGCCTGCACAGTTTTTCCTTATTGAAATTCGAAGAGGATTTTTGGACTGCGCAGACTGACCATAGTCCTTGAGGCCGAACCTACACACGTGAAGGAAATCCTCAAGTACTGGACTGCGCAGTCCAAACCTTGAGGATTTCCTCTACGTGTGTACCTACCTTAACATAAAATACTATATTATATGGCAATAAGGGACAAAAAATGATAATAGTAGACGATATAGCCCCCTACAAATACTCGAAAGCGCTATGTATGTATATTTAATTACAATTATATAGATATATAGAGGCATTGAGCGCGTTCATAACTGGTTCAGGGGGCGTATATGACATTATGTCACGATTTTTGATGATTTTATAATGTAGATGTTTCAAAATCGAGCTATATAAATAAAATAATAAAAAAGTATAATAATATGGGGTTTTCCAGGCGCCAGCACTATAGAGTATAGACAAGAATACTGAGTATAATTAATGTATAATACATTAATACCTACAAGTTACAACATTTTTTTTTTGTACTATAATGTAGTAATGTGGCTGCCGGATGGTACCAGGACTACTAGCGCTATAGTTTACTAATCCACCGCTTTGGTTCGCGTTATCTCTCTCCGATTCCTAACCTGAGTAGATAACCGTGATCAATAGGGTTCGGGACTTATTGCACACAAGTTGTAGGAAATATGCATGCACATATGCACTTAAAATAACCGAAATATGCAACTAAATATTTTTTTAAATAGAATTAAAAAATTTGATTTATTCATTTAAATTATTTTAAACATTATATTACTGAATTCGACTGATGTTCATTTTCTTCCTCTTCTCCTACAATGAAAAAAAGGTTTGGCTTTTCTTGAGTATATTAAATTATTATTAAATATAAAAATGATGAATTGTTTACCTGTAAAGTTTGACTGTACAATAAGACATTTTCTGATATTATCAAATTTAAATGCACGACGGTTGTTGGTCAGCATATTTTTATAAATTGAAAACGAACGTTCCACATTTACTGACATTATCGGCGCATATTTAAAATATACCAAGTCATTTAATTTCAAATCTTCAGGTAAACCTTCAAAATTTTCTTGGTCTCCAGATAAAATATTTGATATTTTAACCATCAATTTGTAACCCTCATTTTTCCCCAACACAGTTTCTATTTTTGTTTTTACCGCTGTTCCTTGTGCTCTATTTATTTGAGTTAATTTTATTTTTGCGTCTTCTACTATCGAAATAGAACTGGCAAGTGACATTCCTTGCTTTTCAAGACACGTTATAGCGTTTGGTAAGAATGAGAAGTTGGATTTGATGAATACAAGTTGAGTTTGAATATGTTGTTGTTCGATGTATTTTTGTGCAGTCTCGATAGATATTGCATCATCTTTTTTTAACGAGTTTACAATCGACTTTACAGTCTCAAAATGTTCGCAATAATAAAGGGCAGCTTGAATCCACGTGCCCCACCTCGTTAATATTGGTTCAGGGGGCAGTGGTAATAATGGGGCAATATCTTTAAAAATTTGAACTCGAGATGGAGCATTTTTAAAGATTTTTTTTACGTTAGCAATAATTTTATCGACTTTAGGATTTAGAATACGGACTGTTTCAGCCACTCTGTGTAGACCGTGGGCAAGGCATGTTGTGTGAATCATTTTTGAGTACAATGTTTTTATTGAACTTGCAGACTTAACCATATAAGGGGCATCGTCAGACAAGAATAATAGAACATCGTCATGTTTAACACCATCGGGCCATAAAATATTCATCGACTTATCGAATAATTTAAAAATCGTTGAATGATTTGCTTTTTCTAGCTCTTCTACATTTAACAAAAATATTTGACCTGGTCCATGTTCTTCCAGTGTACCAATAATAACGTTAGCTACAAATCTACCGGTTACATCTGTGGTTTCGTCTATGCTAACCCAATTTTTTTTTTCCGTCAACATACATTCTAATTTTATTTAGTATTTGATTGTAAACATCGTCTACGTAACCTTTTCGCAAAGTTGACTCAAATGGAATGTCTTTTTCTGTGTATTAAGTATTTCAATAGAAATTCTCTGAATTTAGAGTTGTTTAATTTATTTAAAGGAATATTTGCGGAGAGCAAGGTATTACACAAATCATGGTTAAAAGAACTTTTTTTAGAAGTCATAGCAGTACCAACTAGTTGTTGTGATTTATTTTTAATTTGATCTTGCTTACGTTTTTCGGCAGATTTATGCTTTTCCGTCTTCAAATGTTGAGTAACCAAATATCGCCGATCTGTATTTATTTTCGTTTCACAAAATTTACAAAATAAAATGGTTCCATCACTTGAAAAAACTTTTTCTCCAAACTCGGTGATATTTTTTCTAATAACGCGTATTGTTCGTTATTTTCGGCATCTTTAAAATTACGAAAGCTACAAGAATAACGATTTTAAAAGCCACGACGCACGAAACCAAACTGAATTATTTTCCTTTTACATAGTAGGTATTACCTTAGACGATTTACGATAAACGATAATTAGGTATTTCCCTAGTTGCCAAATCCAGTTAATAATGTTAGTATCTCATATTTATTAATAAACCGAGCTATACGGAGAAACTGATTACTGATTAGTCTATATTGAACAACACATGAAAGTAAAAAAAATATAGTTAATCTTTAAAATAAATGTACTTAACATAAAACAAAAACTGCGTAAATATGCTATAAATAACAAATAAACTGCCAAAATTGACAAATATGCATTTTGCTCAGAAAAAGCAAAATATGCGAAAATATGCAATTAAAATGTTTGTATTTCAACCCGTTGTGACTTAAAACAAATTTAAATCTTACTTAGACTGTTCTGCAGTCATTATTAAGCAATATGCAAATCCAACAAGTCCCGAACCCTAGTGATCAACATTAAAAGACAATAGCATAGATTATTATTATAAAATTAAATATATTATTTAAATATATTTTGTCAACGTACCTACTATGTTAAAATACCTATCATATTTACCCACATAGCATTTCCCAATGTTAAACCTTGTATAAACTTTGAGATTGAGTTGAATTTAAAAGGTTCGAACAAATAGATTTAATAAAATTAGATGAAGTGTTTATTTTTAAACATTTAAATTAGAAAAATGTTCGGTGTTGTATAAACATTTAATTTAGTTTAAATTATAAGTATTCAAAACTTAAGTTTTATTAAATGCTGTATAAAATTATAATGACAAACATTTAAATAGAGTATTATAAAAAATGTTTATTAAGCCTAAATCTATAAATACTTATAGTTGCTTAACAATTTAAGATTTTTTACACACTTAATATACTAATTAGTTATTACTTATATTACTTATTTGTAGGAATTATCAATACTGTCCAGTTCAGGCAGTTCACATTTAGCAACAAACAGTGAAAAAGAGGTAAATAATATGTACAATTTGAGACAGTGCACTTATAACATTCTTTACAAAGCTAGATTACCATGACAAAAGTTGAACAAGCTTTATATAAAATCTATACTTCAATATTTTTTTTTATTTTAATAATAAAAAAATCCCTAATACCTATACGGAAAAAATGCATTAAATAATCATTATCAAGATTCAATCTTTCAAAATCTATAACAATTATTACCTAAGTAACCCTTTAACATGCATAATGCATCTAATATAACTACTAATTAGTTATTACTTATATGACTTATTTGTAGGAATTATCAATACCGTCCAGTTCAGGCATTTCACATTTACCAACAAACAGTGAAAACAAGGTAAATATGTACAATCAATAATATTACACAGTGTACTTTAAAAATGTTTTATAAAACTACAATATTAATACAATTATATTTTGCAGTTGGAAGATATAATTTTACTGAAGCCAGATATTGGATTTTACATTAGAAAAACAAACATTGATGATTACACAAAAAAGTCAATAAAGGAAAATCACTGGTATCCACCTGAAGATTATGTTTTTCCACACTGAGCATAATCGTAATAATAAAGCCCATAAACGATATCCATCACTTAAACATTTAAAATCATATAACTGGTTAGTTTTGTCAGATCTATGTCGAGGATTGTTTTGCAAATATTGTTTCCTGTTTGCGCCTTCTACCACATCGAATAATCAATTAAATTTACTTGTTAAGAAAACCATTGATCTCGTTCAACATACATTGGGAAAAATATTCAAAATGATATCTTAAACTGTATTGGTAAAGTTATTAAAACACATGTTGTGGACAATGTTAAAAAGGCTAGTGTATATTCGATAGTGTTTGATGAAACTACGAATATTTCATGCACCGAGCAACTTACTTTAGTATTGAGGTATGTGAGTAATGAAATTCATGAAGATTTTGTGACATTTTTTGATGCTTACCAATCTACTAGACAAGAAGATAAATCAAATTTCGGGGAGTCAAAGCTTACTGGACATGCTCTTGGACATATTGTTTTTGATGTTTTAACTAAAGATTTTGGGATTGACTTAAAATTATGGGTTGGAATTGGTACTGATGGGTGTAGTGTGATGATATCGCAAGATTGTGGAGCGGTAACAGAAATTTTTAAAACAGTGTACAAATGCTGTTCGTTGCCCTTGTTATAACCATGTATTAAACAATTCTTTGGCCCAGTCATCTAAAATAGTTTTAGTAAGAAATACGATTGGAACATTAAAAGAAATAATTAAATTTTTTAATGCTTCAGAAAAAAGACATTTAGTGTTGAAAAATATCCTTGGCGAAACCTTAACTGGTTTGTGCCAGACCAGATGGATTGAGATGCATGATGGTATCTTGCAATTTAAATCAGCTCTCTAAGGTAATATTATATTCATACATTGATATGTATATTGGTTATTAATTATTTTTAATATGAATTTGTTTAGATTGTTGAAGCACTAACTGAAGTATCAATGGGGTCAGAAAGAATATCATCTAGCAAAGCTTCAATTTTGTTGTCAGCCATAAACAATAGTGAGTTTATTATATGTATATTAGCTATGGTTGATGTACTTAAAACTAACAATGCCAATATCACGACATTTGCAATCAACGTCATTGGACTTAGCAAATGCTTCTTCATCAATAGATGGGGTAAAATAAATTTTTTTAGGAAAAACGTAAAAATTGTGTTTCTGAATTTAAAGCAATTTTTTCAAATGCAAGTGACTTAGCTACAGTTATTGGATTTGACTTAAGAATGCCTAGAATAGTTGGGAAACAAATAAATCGTAGCAATTATCAAGCGAAAGATACTGAACAATATTATTTGCGAAGTATTTACATACCACTATTGGATACTGTGAAAACAGATATGACTTTGAGATTATCAACCAGTACTTTAGAAGCTTTCGATTTACGTTTATTAATTCCTAAAACAATTGTAGTGTTAACTGACAAAGATTCCTGCGAGAAAAAAAATATAATAAAAATAATTTTAAACGTAGCAACTAAATTTTCTAAATTAAATGCAGAAGTTAAATTGATGACTCCTGATTTATTAGAAAGTATCTACTTAATAACAAATAACCAAAAATAATCAATACCTATGCTTTTTTACAATTTTTTTTTATCTCTAGGTGAAGTTATGTTATGGATCCATAAATGGAAGAAATGTACACCAGACCAACGACCGATTACAGCATTAGATGCCTTAACAAAATGTGATAATGAAATATTTCCTACTATAAGATTGTATTTGCAAATATTAGCAACACTCCCAGTCAGTGTTGCATCGGCTGAGAGAAGTTTTTCGACTCTACGCATAGTTAAAACTTGGCTTCGATCAAGGATGGACGAGGATCGTTTAACAAGTTTATGCTTTCTAAACGTATATCAAAATATTAATATGTATGATAAAGTGGACGAAATAATAGAATTATTTGCAAAACAAAAAAAAAGAAGGCTGGAGTTTGTTGTATAAAATATTTTATTAAATAAAACCAAATATAATGTGTAAATACAAGACATTATTTATTGACAAACTTACAGGTTCCAGGTTAGAATATTCTCTAACTCCCCTTTGCAATTTAGTGATAGCTGAAAAAAAATGCCCCCCCCCCTTTGTAAGTCTCTGAAGCCGTGCCTGGTTCGATTACAGTATGAACACGTAACAACCTGTATATTATAATTCGTTGGCGGTTGCGTAAAATTATTCCTATTAGGTGGACGGTTGTTATTGCCGTTGCTCGCATAACTAGGTCTCAAATTATTCCTACATTGAGATGCATAATGATTACCATTACAATTATAGCACCTTATTGCTAACCTATTGATTGGTTGTGAAAAATTGTTTGCTCGCGGATAATTATTTGTTCGTGCAAAGTCGTTGGTATTTCCGACGTAGTGTATTTATTTTTATTTTTATTTTTTTTTTTTGTAGGGTTTATCCGGGGCTACTAGGACAATCCCGGTTAGAGATGTCTCACAATCATTTTTCTAACTATCTCTATTCATTGCCAAACCATTTTAATACCTTATACTTTTATTTAATAAAAAAAATTATATATATATTCAAATTAAGGAAAATGTTATTAGTTTTCAGCCGGTATAATGCTTCAAAAAAATACATTTTCTACAGGGGCGTCATTTCAGATTTTGAGAGGGTGGGGCAACTGATTAAATTTGCCGACTTAATAATATTAAAAAAAATGTAGGTTACCTATGTATTTAATTTTATGGACGATACTACGATAGACATATAGACTATCAATAAAATATTTTTTCGGAACAAAACATGTAAGGGATCAAAATGATTAATGAATTATGATGACATGATGATAAACACGATGAAATAGTAAGTATAATAAATATACAGTAAATAATTTCAGTAGGTTATCAAAGTCAAATTATTAAATAATTACTTGTTTTTGGAAATTTTTTCGAGCTAAATCAAAAGGATTATTGGTGCTCCGACGTGTTTAACCCGTACACGTTTTCCTCCATGTATTTTATTTTCGTGTTTGCTACGATAGTCGTCGTCAAACACACTGCCACAAATCAAACATTCTAGTTTAATTCTTTTTCTTTTTTTTAAAGAAACTTCTACTTCACTCATTTTAATTACTAAGTAATAAACCACAATCACGTTTGAGTTATGAGCACAATATACAAATATATCAAATATACAAACACGTTACATCGTTACACCGTCCAAAACATAAGCAATTTTTGACTATAATCAATTGAACAGATACTATTATTCTAAATTGTACAATAATTAATAACAATAATAGAAGTAATAATACTAGTTGTACTGATTAGTGATTAGATGTCATCATGTATTACGGAAATATGGAAGTCGGCAATTGGCGTTCGATGTTATCTACACTAACAATTTGTTGTAAATCCATGATTTTTAGGATTTTTCTTGTTTTGCGCATTAGCGATTATCATAAGCCGAGGAGCCAGTGTTTCCCAACATTTTAATAAACCATAAACCATTTAGATTATCTGATTTCTCAATACAAAATAGTACCGATTTTAGCATTTGATCACCGGATAAAGAATTGCCGACTTCTTAAAATTTCTTAGAGTAGGGCATTTGCCATAGTCTGCCCCCCCCCAAATGACGCCCCTGATTTTCTAATTACAATAATTAATTATAACGATAAATGTTTATTACCTAATGTTATTTAATCAATTATCGGATTCAGATTTATAACAGTTTGCCCCTCTTAAATTTAAATCATTTATGTTTAAGAGGCCTTTCTGGTACGAAAATTCCAAAAAAACATGGTTTCGTACTTCAAGTTTTCCTCAGATCTTGTTAGTTGTAGAAACATGATTTTTTCACCAAAATAAACGTGAGAAGTTTATCTAGGTTTTGTCGTGCCAGATTTTCGATTTTTTTTTTCAAACCGATTATATTTGCATTAAATTTTTTAAAAATTATACAAAATAGACAAAAAAAAGATATCAAAAATTTGGAACGACAAAACCTAGATAATCTTCTCACGTTTATTTTGGTGAAAAAATCATGTTTCTACGACTAACGAGAACTGAGGAAAATGGGAAGTACGAAACCATATTTTTGGTAAAAAAAACACGATTTTACAGCCGTCATGTGCTGCTCTACTGACACTAGCGGCCGCGTTCAAAAATAGTGTTCCTACCACTACCCTGCGCTCAACTGTAGCCATACCGCACCATAGTTAGATTTCTTATCGCGATCGGCCCGCTTGCTGTTTATAAATAATCTTTACGAAAACAATTATGTTGGTGACAGAATTATTTTCATAATACCCATATCGAATTTTATATTTCGTATATTATTATTATTTTGCTCGCCGGGTTTTACACAAATTAAAAATCTCACATCCTAAAATCGTTTAAAAAATTTACAATTTAAATAATTATTTTTTTAATCTTGTAGAGAATTCGATGAGAACATTTTTTTTAACGTTGACTAACAAAATATGAAAATTAATTCAGTATTACAAAAAAAAACGTTAGATACATATGAATAAATGGAAAACCTGTTGAATAAAGGGTATATTTCTACTTTACCGGACACCCTTTTTTTTGCAATTTTTTTTTTTTGAAATTCATGTAGTTAAAACGATGGTGAAGTCCAAATTTGGCGCACGGACTTAGTTTTGAAATTATGGCCTAATGAAGTTCGCTATTTTGCGATTTTCACGCATTCGCGCAACACTAGTTTACCGCGCGCTTACTACGAATATTGATATTTATATATTATAATTGAAGGGATGAAAGTTTTAAGGTATTTTACACATTATAGCAAAATATTAAATCAATAATTATTATTTATTTGTCGTCGTCGTTGTCTACGTCTTTTTCACCGTCATCGTTCCCATCATCATCTTCGTCACTGTCATCATCGTCGTCACCGTAGTCGCCGTAGTTGAATATCATATTATCCTTATTGTTCGCATCATAAAGGATACCCGCATGTTTAAAAAACTCAGCTGTTGGGTCTAGGTTATGCGAACGGTAGTGTTTGGTAAACATAAATTTCGCCAAAAAGCCTGGGTAAAAAGCTTTTTTACGGCAGTAATTAGACATTGATGCCTTCGAATGCCTCCACGAACTCTCTATTGTGTTAGAGTGGACCCCTGTCTCAGGGTCCTTAAAATGCAGACTATGATTTACAGTTAGGTGCTGATAGCCTTCATTATTTAAGATATTGTAGGCCTAAAATAAAATAGTAAATTAATTTATATTTCTGAAAATATATTGGACAAATATATTACTCTCCAACAATCCGATATAATGGTTGTTCCCGGTTTTATCCAGTCTTTTATAATGGCCAGAAGGGTTTCGACGGTTCGGTTTTCAACGGGGATCATAAAACAGTTACCTGTTTCCCGTTCATAACCGCTGAAAACCCATTGGCCCTCAACTCTATGACCCCGATGATGCAAACTTCGATTCGTCGATTTCAACTTTACGTCCACAGCCGCCCAATTTTACTTTCCGTACCACCATCGCGTCGTAACTTACTTCTCGGCAAAAAGACGACCAATCAGTTAAAACTTGGTTGGAGAACCTCAATTGCACTTTCATCACCGGGAATGAACAGTGCAGTGACCACAAATTAATAAAACTACAAATTTCTAATAGCGTAAGATGGGACTTGTAAAAAATGTTTCGTGTCTGAGTGACATGCTATAAATGTAAATATTTTTAAGTGTTAGTTAGTAATTTGGCATAATTTTAGTTTAGCGGCCACGCGAATTTTCCGATTAAACCTGTGGCCCACTTGGGGAGGTGTTGCACAGCAAATCGGGGGATATTTTCGTTTTTAATTGTCCGAGCGAGCGCAGCGAGCGAGTGACCCCGCTCGGTGAATCGGTGCAACAAAAATGCATTTTTTTTTAAACCTGTGGCCTACTTCGGAAAGCTTTGAATACCAAATCGAGGTTAAGTAGAAAAGTTCCCATATTAATAATAATATACAATTTAGTAATAATGAGACAGTCGTAAAATAGCCATAATAATATAAAAAAAAGAAATCGGTAAAACAAAAATACCACCCCGCGCGGGAGTACTGTGGCGCGGGTATATACGTAAATTTTAACTCGTTGAAATACATAGATTCCCGAACAATTTGCGAGGCTGCGAAATTAGATTTGTTCCAGTAGTTTTAGTAATATTCTATTTACCTATAATTGCATGATTTTTTTTCCTTTTTTGTTAATTTTTGCACGACAAATCCATTTGTATTTATCGATTGACGATTGATCTTTAACCAATCTCATCGGATGTCCTCGTATACAATTTTGTTCATTTGGCAATATACCAAATGACTGTAATTTGACAATCAAACCTAAGCCATCGTTCAGGCTTGACCGTTCCATTAAATCAAACAAATTTATATGTTTCTCCATAGTATAGAATATTTAAAATGAAATTTAATGTTTTCGCGCCACTAAAGAATAGGCGTGTAACCGGCGCTAACCACTAGTAAACTGTTTAAGGTGCCTTTACACTGTATCGTGTCGTCCATAATTTAGGACGTTGTCCTAAAATTACAGTGTTTTGATTGGCTGAATATTGTGGTTACCTAATTAATATACCATGTTACCAGGCGTTACCAGAAAGTTGAAAAAAATTCAACTTGTCGTCGTGCGGTAACAGTCGTGGTTCAATCCTCCTGATAACAAATAATTTTGCCCATATATTTGTTATCAATTCGTTAACCTAATATATACCATTCTACCAAGAACGAAATTGGAAATGGACGACACGATACAGTGTAAAGGCACCTTTACTGATATCGTTTTCGCGATTACGGTTACTGTAACCAGGTAACTAATTTCGTGAACATGTTTAGTGAATTTTCTAACCGTATTCTTTAACCATAAACTTATTTACTAAACAATTTACTCCGCCAAAACACGCCTAATATGTCCTATAATAATTATTGTCATATCTACTCCCCCGATGAAGAAAGAAGTA